GAGCCCTTTTTTGTGCATTATTTTTGCAACCGAGTCAGTTTAAACAAGCCATAAACAAATTAAGATTCAGATCTGCTACACATTATGTTTCTCTTGAGTGATTGATGTATAACCATGATCATGGGTATCGTCCTAGAGCAGACAATCTTGGTGTTAACCTAATCTTGGGGATGAATTGGCAGGACAAATCAAAACCAAGTGACTAACTTGGTTTTATCCCATTTATTGTGTTCCTCCTTCTGGCCCCATACAGGGCAGAGTAGTTATGTAGGGAGGTGGGAGAACCCATGGTATACAGCTGGAGACCAGGAATCCAACACTTCTGAAACGTGTAATTTCCTGAAGGTTCTTTGGGCAGCAGTTACTCTTCAGAATAGTGGAGATCAGTGTTGCACAGCGGAAGAATTGGTAGATGTTAGATGTCCTCTTTGCAGGGAGTTTTTTTTTTTTTTTTGTGTGCATTCTTATTTTTGCAACCGAGTCAGTTTAAGCAAGCCATAAACAATTGAGGATTATCAATTCTCTTACACATATCCTTTCTCTTGAGTGACTGACATTGGTATCTCCATAGACCAGACAGCCTTTGTGGTGGCCTAATCCTGGGATGATTTGGCAATGGGTAGGAAAAATCAAAACCAAGTGACTAAGGCAGGCCATACACAGTGCTTAATTCCCTCATCAAGACAGACCGTGTCGACAGGGGAATCCCTCCTACCGAGCCATTGTATTCTCCTGTCGGGAGGGCAGGGGAAGCCATCCCCACCAGGAGAAGACAGTGTTTGTTGCTAGTGGCTATACCAGCCGCTAGCGATAATCGTATGTAAAATCCGGCAGGCTGGTTGTACCATAGTTGATCAATTGATCAACTCGGGTACAGTTAACCTGCCCATACTTGGTTCGAATCTCGCCCAATTCCTTCTGAACTGGTTGAGATTCAAACCGCCTCTGGCTGGCGTAACGTTTCTACATGAAATTGGTTTGCCAATCGATGACTCATCCCATTTGAAGTAACTTGTAAATATTAGGTGTTGCTCATTAATGGCTGTAGACACCTCTGCATTAATTGTCACAGCTCTGAGTGCTGTATGGCTCAACACATAGTTGGAGTAATTTGGATTTACTATGGAACAAAGCAAAGAAATCCTTTATTTTTTAAATTGTTAAAGATTTATAACATGAGTAAGCTCAACATTATAGTGGTGTCGCTTTTAAATTGATAAAAGCAGATATAAAGTTGAATATCATGTTTATATCAATGTAAAGTAATATAACTCATGTTCAGTTTTGAGGTCTATTTACCTATGTGACCGTGTTAGCCTGGATGCTGGCCTGAAGGGTCTGTATATTAAACTTTGAGTAGACTCTACTTGACACTACTAAGGAAGTCAGCAGGAAACATTTTAACTGCTGAGGTTACAGTGTTTACGCGTTTGCCTTTCTGCCTGCCAGAAATCCTTGCTTCTAGAATCGTTTCAGGAAGGAAGTATTGAATTAGCAAATATTTGTAATGTCTTTAATGTTAGAAGCTGAAAGACTTAGACACTCCTTCATCTTGGAGATAAAAGTTATCAGCACTAAAATTGGTCTCCATTAATGTTCGTTCGAGTAGTTCCCACATTTTGTTTCAAACTCCAGACTCCATATTTACTGATTATGATGTCTACACGTCTTTATGTGTCTTTAATTATTTTTAATCACATTGAATACAAATGACTTTGCATATTGTTAATGCATAACACTGTTCCTACTTAATCAGCAGGCAAAAGAACAGTTCTGATCTCATGTGGTCCAAGTCTGTTTTTAGAACTGCTTTTGCATTTATAATTGTGATTTAGAACAGAATTCATAATGTGCAGACTCTGCATCTATGTATGTGGATTTTATTTTGCTGGTCTTTTCTCTTCTTTCCTGCATTTTGTATGCAATCCAATTTGCTTTAACTGATAGTTTTAATTTTGTGCGTTTTTGAAGTTGGCATGCATTGTCAGGTAATTTCTTTACAGAAAGCTACAGCAACATTCATATAATATATGAATTAAGATAATAGTAGTCTAAATACACAGAAATATGGAATTTTTTGGTGTACAATACTAGTAATGTCAGGTTAGTCTCTGTCACACAATTGCTATAATTTCCTATAATTGATGTTGGAATTAACCTTACAGTGCCACCTTTCATGTGTGATTGTATTGTCCTGTTTGTCTGGTTCCTGTTGATGCAAATTCCAAGGTAATAGCACCAGCATACGCTTTTTGTTCAGCCACAACATTCTTATCTTTGAGGACTTAAAGGGAAAAGTAAAGGCACATTACTTTGTTTTGTAGACATCTTCCTAGACTCAAAGTATAGTATTTAGCATATGACTGGAAGGTAACCTGAGTAAGGAAGAGACAGTCTACACCTGTATATCATGGTGTCTATAGCAGAGACTTTTCAAAGCCTGGAATAGAATAGTTTAACAAAGGGTTAAAACATGTCATGTCATGTTTCTTGCAATGAATTTTACTTACATTAGAAAACATTTATGGGTTTGGTAATTTTTTTTGTCTTTTTTAGGCACAACCATAACTAAAGCTGGCCATACACTGTTAGTTTTTTTTTTTTCTTCGTTCTCTAGCCAACACATTCATCCATGGATGGAGGAATTTCACCCCTGGCTAAGATGTTGCATTTTGACAGCAGCTTCCACTGTCATCAGAATACACTGATCAAATTGCTACAGCCACTGATCAAGAAAAACATTTTAACTTGTTTGCACCAACTGAGCCTGATCAAAGGATGTTGAGAGGGAACAGTCACACACTGACTGAAATTTGCCTGGCCCTGCTGAGCTGGCTGAATTTCGATCACTGTATGGCCAACTTTACACTATTGAGGCCTTACTGAGCATGCTTAAAGTAGGCATGTGGAAAGATAGATTTTCTCCTGAGATCTGCCATTACCTACAGTGGTTCCCTTCTTCCATAGGCCTGATTTAACCACTTGCCCACCAGAAGATTTACCCCCCTTCCTGACTAGGCCATTTTTTGCAGAATGACGCTACTTTATTTTAACTGACAATTGCACGGTCATGCAACGCTGTACATAAATTTAAATTATGTCCTTTTTTCCCCGGTGGTATTTGATCACTTGTGCAGTTTTTATTTTTTGCGCTATAAACAAAAAAAGCCCAACAATTTTGAAAAAAAAAAAACCAATATTTTTGACTCTTTTGCTATTAAACATATTCAGTAAAAAAAATTTAAAAAATCAAATTTCATCATAAATTTAGGCCAAAATGTATTCTGCTACTTCTTTGCTAAAAAAAAAAAAAAAAAAATCCTAATACGTGTAAATTAATTGGTTTATGTGAAAGTTATAGCGTCTACAAATGGTGGTGTGTATATATACTGAATTTTATTTTTATATATACTAGTAATGGCGGCGATCAGCGACTTATAACTCAACTGCGATGGGCATTCTGGCACTGGGTTGGAACTGACTAATTGCCACTGATATCCCAATGACACTAATACAGTGATCAGTGCTAATAAAAAGCACTGACACTGTACTAATGGCACTGGGCAAGAAGGGGTTAACATCTGAGACAATCAAAGGGTTAACTGGGTGCTGTTTTACATAATGTGCTGTGTGTGTTTTACTAGGGAAACATGCTGCTGTGTATTTCTCCACTATATAAAGTTTTTATACTGAATACTAGAATGATTACACTCTTAAAGTGTTACTAAACCCAGGACTTTGCATTCTCTTTATCTGGTCTCCCACAGTACACAGAACATGGAAATGCAATTATTTTAGTATATATAAACTGCTACATACCTTCTCTCATCAGAAGTTAGTCACAGTTAGTCTTGTGACTTCTATCAGTGTCCAGCCCAGCACTAGCTAAAGCATGTAGGAGGAGTTTTGTTTCTGCTCTTGGAGGATGCAAATCCCCTTACCTCTGTCTGGACAGTGCTGATTGGCTCTGTGCTGGTCATATGCGCTCTCCCAAGAAAAAAAAAAAACCCTCTAGAAATACACACCAAACTGAGCATGTGCAAATGCCCACGGTTCAGTCTGTCTTATTAGGAGATAAGAGGTGGTCGCTTCAAAAAGGGGGGGAACAGAGAAGAAAGGATCACTGGGCCTTTTTTTTTTTTTACACAGTGCAGAGGATTAAACCCTTAGGTTCCACAGTGAGTATAACAAGCCTGTTTTATTGCATATACAGGCTGATTTTACTGTGGTGGGTTTAGTAACACTTTAAAACTGCATGTAGTGTATATGTATGCATTCAGATTGCAATATAATATTTTTTGTAATATAGTTTCTTTAACATCTCAAAATATTAAAATAAATTCCAGATTTTAAGGAGAATTTGCAAATGGGAAGCTAAAAAAGGAAATGATGTCTAAAGGATGGCCACGTCCTTGAATACTTTATATGCACTGTATATAAAATGAATGACTTTTGGAAATGCCAAGCTTATCTAGATTTTTTTACTACTACTCTCCCAGTATTGAATTACAAATTCTGCAGACAATGCTATATCAGCTGCCAAACAATTGCTGAAAAACAGTATCTCAAAAACTCCTGTATGTAGAAAAGCCAGTGCACTATAGTGCTGTGTTTTTAGAAGTTCTCTCTAGAATAAAGGGTCTCCATCCTGCCCTTGGCCTTCTCCAGCAGTGCATGTTATGTACACACTGTTGGTGAGGTCAGAGAACCGTTTGGAGAAGGAAGCACAATTATTAATAGGAAGGAAACTGGAGAAAAATGAGAATGGAAAATACTGTTCATAACAGTCGGGTTCAGCGGTTTTTTTACTGACCTCTTTATCTGTTCGTTTGCCATCTATGCCACTTCTCTAAACTTTCATAATCATTGTTTTCATTGCCAGTACACTTTTGTATACAGATAAGGTTTATGGCATGCCACAAAATCATTGGAATTCTTTTTATATTTGGAAGAAAAGATCCAGATTTCATTTTTTTTCATTTTTTTTTTGTCTTTCCTAGTGTCATCAGCAAAGTGGTATCCGCTCCAGATGCAAAAGCAGCTACAACACCGTCCTTGCCTAAATCGCCTCCACCTACCCCATCTCCAGCACCCGTTCCAGTTCTTGTCGTGCCTCCTCCAGTCCAAGCCCCTCCTGCCCCTGCAGCTTCATCACCCGCTCCAAACCCACCTCCTGCTGCCCCTGCACCAAACAAAGAAAACTCGAAGACTCCGTACAGGAGTGTTGTCACAGAGACAGTCAGCACCTACGTGGTGAGTGTGGTCAGGATTAATGATCTTCTTGTTTACATCATGTATTTGTTCCTATTCGGCACAGATGTAGAGGTAGAAATGTTAAATCATTTTCACTGATCAGCAACCTAAATTTGAGAATTATCTAGTTTCCTTTTACCTTAAAACTGTAAACATTAAAGTGGAAGAAAAGACTAATTTTTAATAATCACCCCCCCGTAGGGAAAAAAAAACATTTTAATCTGCTCCGGTCCCATCATGTGAACTGCAGCTCTGGCTCCCCTGTGTCAATGAGCAGCTACTGCAGCGGGCAGGGGACAGCACCATCAATGGGAGCCTATGTATGGCTGACATCACGGCTGTCAGAATTCACAGCTGTTGTTGAGCGCTCCCTTACACAAGGGAACTGATGCTGCAGGCTCACGTGACTAGATTGGATTAAAAAAGGTAAGTGCCCAGATCACACAGGTATGCAGGATAGGTAGAATGAGGAGAAGGAAATATTTTTAAAAATGGTTAGTGTTAGGCTTTTTTTTTCTTCTTGAAATGCTGAGATTAGAAATGAACATTCCAAACCAAGATGACCAATATGTGACTTGGATTAGGCCATGAACATTAGACAATTGACTTTGACCCCATCTGTTTTTAACTCATCCCCTTCTTTTCTTAGTGTTCTGTGTTTTTATTTATTTTTGAATGAAAAAAAAATAAAATGTCTTCCAGCTCTTTTGGTCCTGCATATTTTAGCAAGAAGGCCAAAACATCTGCAACATTTATGGCATATACTATGGTTATTAAACACAGGCTAGCGTTTCAGGTTGCATTGATAAATATAAACTGGACACATTGAAAAATACCAGACCAGAGAGGAAGGGCACCAGGTTCTTCACGTATCTTTTGACCCGGGAGCATACCTACCAACTTTGAAACTTGAGAATGAAGGACACCTCAGAACGGGCAAGTCAATTGCACTGAATATTGTGTGTGTCCTAAAGGAACATAGTGAGTCTAAGCCTACAGAAACCTGACAACTATGAGTTACACAGTTCACCCATACATAAGCCTAAATTTGAGGCAAAACATGTTGGGTGTTTGGTTTGTTTTGGTGAATAAGCACTATTATTTTGTTTTGCCTTTTTTTGGGGGGGGGGGGGGGGGTGATTTATGAATTTGAGAGATATATTCTAATTTGTTATTAGATGTTTGAATTAGAGTGAGTTCCCTCCCTTACCTAAGTCCTGTATCCATCCAGCGTTGTGACCATCTGCATCCCCTGTCTCTCTTCTCACAGGAGGATCAGGCAGCAGTGGGGAGCCATTGGCTCCTGCTGCTGTCAGTCAGATCCTGGGAGTAGAGAGGTGAGAGGTGGCTGCCGAGCCGCACTGTGTGTGTCTATGAGCACGCACAGCCCGGTTCAGGAGCAAGGCCACGTTTGCCCCCATAACAAGCTGTTTGCTTTGGAGGCAGACACAGAAGAGGAAGAGTCAACATTGCCAGCAGGGGACCCCAGAAGAGATTCTGGACCACTGTGTTCAGTACCATTGCACAAAGCAGGTAAGTATTTTTATTTAAGAAATTGCTTTATTAACACTTTTAAGTTTATGTTGTCCCTGTAGATATGAATCCACATGGGAAACTTTGAATATATTTGGATATATGTTGTTTGAAATTTACAATAAAAGTTATGTTTTATGCCAAAGTGGTTAAGGTGTGCAGTGACTGGAGCTCATCAGCTATAGTTCCCACACCGTGGTGACCCAGCATTGCTTGTTGAAAGGCAGGCTGTTGTATTTACATAAATAATAAAATGTAGGTGCTACCTTCCTCCTTTGCTGTCCCTGCTTTCTGTGCTCTCTCCTCCTCCAGTTCTGCTACCCCCATCAGCCTTGCAGGGTTTTTGTTTTACATTTAGATAAATGACGGCCGACTTAAACTGTATAGCAGCTTATCAGTATCAGAACATCTTGGATGGCTGCAATTCCCGTGCATTTGATTAGTTACACATTTTGAAAGTACATTTTTTAATAAACTGCGGTACCAGATGCTGTTTAAATTTGGCTTTCATTTCTGCTGCCCTGCTCCCACTCTCAAGAATTGTGACATTGTCAAATGGGTTGGTTGTGGGGCAATGCTTGGATCCACGGGAACTGGTGGATTTGTGGCAAAATTTAGGCAGTCCCGCAGAATCTGTGGGGAGATATGCAGGAGGAGGTGAGAGAACTTGAGTGTTGATTTTCTGCAACATACAGTGGGAATCGAAAGTTTGGGCACCCCAGCTAAAAATTTGTATTAATGTGCATAAAGAAACCAAGGAAAGATGGAAAAATCTCCAAAAGGCATCAAATTACAGATTAGACATTCTTATAATATGTCAACAAAAGTTAGATTTTTATTTCCATCATTTACACTTTCAAAATAACAGAAAACAAAAAAAATGGCGTCTGCAAAAGTTTGGGCACCCTGCAGAATTTATAGCATGCACTGCCCCCTTTGCAAAGCTGAGACATGCCAGTGTCATGGATTGTTCTCAATCATCGTCTGGGCAGACCAGGTGATGTCAATCTCAAAGGTTGTAAATGCCCAGACTCATCTGACCTTGCCCCAACAATCAGCACCATGGGTTCTTCTAAGCAAATTGTCTAGAAAACTGAAACTGAAAATAATTGACGCTCACAAAGCTGGAGAAGGCTATAAGAAGATAGCAAAGCGTTTTCAGATGTCAATATCCTCTGTTCGGAATGTAATTAAGAAATGGCAGTCATCAGGAACAGTGGAAGTTAAAGCAAGATCTGGAAGACCAAGAAAAATATCAGACAGAACAGCTCGCAGGATTGTGAGAAAAACAATTCAAAACCCACGTTTGACTGCACGATCCCTCCACAAAGATCTGGCAGACACTGGAGTTGTGGTACACTATTCCACTATAAAGAGATACTTGTACAAATATGGTCTTCATGGAAGAGTCATCAGAAGAAAACCTCTTCTACGTCCTCACCACACAAAAATCATCATTTGAACTTTGCAAATGAACATATAGACAAGCCTGATGCATTTTGGAAACAAGTTCTGTGGACCGATGAGGTTAAAATTGAACTTTTTGGCCGGAATGAGCAAAGGTACGTTTGGAGAAGAAGGGGCACAGTATTTAATGAAAAGAACCTCTGTCCAACTGTTAAGCATGGGGTTGGATCAATCATGCTTTGGGGTTGTGTTGCAGCCAGTGGCACAGGGAACATCTCACGAGTAGAAGGAAAAATGGATTCAATAAAATTTCAGCAAATTTTGGATGGTAACTTGATGCCATCTGTGAAAAAGCTGAAGTTAAAGAGAGGATGGCTTCTACAAATGGATAATGATCCTAAACACACCTCGAAATCCACGGGGGATTACATCAAGAGGTGTAAACTGAAGGTTTTGCCATGGCCTTCACAATCTCCTGACCTCAACATAATTGAAAATCTATGGATAGACCTTAAAAGAGCAGTGTGTGACAGACAGCCCAGAAATCTCAAAGAACTGGAAGACTTTTGTAAGGAAGAATGGGCAAAGATATCTCAAACAAGAATTGAAAGACTCTTGGCTGGCTACAAAAAGCGTTTACAAGCTGTGATACTTGCCAAGGGGGCAGTACAAGATATTAACTCTGCAGGGTGCCCAAACTTTTGCAGACGCCACTTTTTTGTTTTCTGTTATTTTGAAAGTGTAAATGATGGAAATAAAATCTAACTTTTGTTGACATATTATAAGAATGTCTAATCTGTAATTTGATGCCTTTTGGAGATTTTTCCATCTTTCCTTGGCTTCTTTATGCACATTAATACAAATTTTTAGCTGGGGTGCCCAAACCTTCGATTCCCACTGTATCTGCCTTCCCTGTGCACAAGTAAGTGATCCTCCTGGTTGGTCCTTTCTTTCAAAAGAAAATACTATGTGGCTGATAATCTGATTGTTCGCATTGCTTGAAAACATTGGATGTTGTTAGGTCAGTTTCAGGGGGGGTAAAATAGAATGTATTGCAGGTAAGGCAACTTTCTAACAGAATTGAAGTAGTGAACAGTACCTCATCAGTAAGACTACATTTCCAGTTTAATTTTACTTGTCCTTTATTTCAAAGTGACAACGATGTCATAAAGTAAATGGAAAGTTACTCAGTAACAACTTTTTATACCTTTGATGTTATCAGCAAGTTGAATAGGAGTGTTTGGCTAATAAGTAAAAATGCAAAGCTTGGAACTTCACAAGCCTAATAAAGTGTATTTTTAAAGAGAACTTTCCTTCAGATTTACATAAATATGTTGGTGCGTATTTAAAACTTGTATTCAAATACCACTTAAAGTTTTTTTTCCTCCTGAAACCGAATCTGTATGCAAATATTCCTAGCGCATTTATGTTTATAAGGTGACGGATGTACTGTATTGTCCTATAAGTCATAGAAAAGTTAAAAAAAAATAAAAAAGACAGTATGGCCTCTTGCACACGGGTGTAAAAGCAACTTTTTTTTTAAATGATCTGAACAAAGGATAGTTGTTGTCTATGGAACAGTACAGTACACACAGCTACATTAAAGTGATTCCAAAGGTTGTAATTAAAAATAACAAAAAACAAAAAAATAAACATGTTATACTTACCAGCTCTGTGCATTGGTTTTGCACAGAGCAGCACCCCCGATCTTCCTCTCTTTGGGTCCCCCGCTGGTGGTCCTGGCTCCTTTCCCCCCCCCCCCCCCCCCCACCAAGTGCTGCTAATAGCAAGCCTTTTGCTATTGAGGCACTCAAGCAGACTTGCTCCCAAGCTGCGCTCCTGTGAATGGACATTGTCCATTAACCACTTGCCCTCAAGAGGATTTATCCCCCCTTCTTGATCAGGCAATTTTTTGCGTTACAACATTGCGTTACTTTAACTGACAATTGCGCGGTCATGCAACACTGCACCAAAATTAAATTTACATAGTTTTTCTTCCCAGAAATTGAGCTTTCTTTCAGTGGTATTTGATCACCTGTGCATTTTTTATTTTTTTCCAACAATTTTGAGAATTTTTTTTTTTTTTACTTTTTGCTATTAAACATGTCCAGTAAAAAAATTTAAAAAATCAAATTGTGCCATAAATTTAGGCCAAAATGTAATCTGCTACATGTCTTTGCTAAAAAAAAATCCCAATACATGTAAATTGGTTTACGTGAAAGTTATAGCATTTACAAATGCGGGGGCGTGGCTGAGTTAACCGCTTCCCGACTGGGATTTCGTTTTTTTTATACATTTTTACTAGTAATGGTGGCGATCAGTGACCTATAGCGGGCCTGCGGCGGGCATTCTGACACTGGGGGGAACTGACTTGGTGTCACTGACTTCCCCAGTAACACCAATACAGTGATCAGTGCTAAAAAATAGCACTGACAATGTACTAATGGCACTGGGCAGGAAGGTGTTAACATGAGGGGCGATCAGAGGGCCAACTGTGTGCTGTTTTACTATGTGCTGTGTCTGTGTGCTTCACAGTAAGCACACTTCTTTTGCATGGGAGCGGGCGCCTGAATTTGACAGGTACCCGCTCCCACTTCCGGTCTGATCGCCTAGGCGCTTGGAAGCGGAAGGTGTCCTCCCTCCCTCCCTGTAGTCTTTTGGGACATGTGACCAGTCCTAGAAGACTACAGGACCATTCATGAAGCGCAGCGCTACTCGCACATGCGCAGTGGGTACCCAGCTGTGAAGCCGCAAGCTATCATAGCCAGGTGCCCACACTGAAGATGCCAGTCTCCTGGAATACAGGGCGACCAGTGAAAGGGGCTGCAGGGGACACACCGTGGGACTGAGGGACAGGTGAGCGGCTGTTTGTTAAAAGTCAGCAACTACAGTTTTTTGTAGCTGCTGACTTTTATTTTTTGACAACGTGAGTGGAACTCCACTTTAAGCTGGATGCACATATTCTGCAAGGTCTTAAAGAGAACCTATGTAAGGTTTTCTAATCCATTGTTAAGGTAAATAGAGCTTTCTGTCTTTCACAGTTTCGACACAGAAATTATTAGTTAATTAATAGAATTTCTCTATTTCTGGTACATTTTTCTGGGTATCCTTGATACTTGAAATGAATAATAACTGTAGAAAAGAAGTACAAAGCATGTGGTGTCCTCTAACATAAGTACTGGAGGTGACCCATTACCTTAATGGTTAGTGGAAAATAGCCCCCCTTGCATTTGATTTCAGTTTAGATGGGAAAGAAGTCCACCATTGCTCACTGAATCCCTGGCAACCTTAGGAGAGATCTTGGTAGCAAAACCATGCTCTAGATCAGTGTTTCTCAACCTTTTTTCAGTCAAGGCACCCTCTAAAATTATGGACATTCCCAAGGCACCCCATTCTAAAATGTAAAAAACTTCTCTAATAGTTTTATATAACGCAGCAACATCCACACATGTAGGACACTCAACTCTAAAGGTGATTTATTCTTCCAAAGCAAATATACTTTTGCACAGTCCTGACTAGCATTACAGTGTTTCTCTCAGTTTTTTCCTCCATCACTGAGCTAATGTAACCCCAGCACTGATAGAAAGGGGCAGGGGTGGTTCAAACAGGGATGCTGTGCAGGCATCTGACATCCTCCTTATCAGCTGATGTCATTGATTGTCAGGATGCCAGTGGCTAGAAGATCGATATGGCACACAATGAAGACCTGTGGCTTTGGGAAACTGTCAGGCTTCTTCCACCCGCTGGCTTGTATACAAGTTTTGGGCAACTTTTAGACATTTTGCCAAGGCACCCCTAAAGAAACCTCAAGGCACCTCGGGGTGGGGACCCTGGTTGAGAAAGGCTGCTCTATATAGTGGTGTTTAAGTACTTTCTTTTTTTTGGGGGTTTTTTTTTTAATAGGGACAGCACGGTGGCTTAGCTAGCATATTAGCATCATACTAGAATCATAGGTTTGCATCCCAACCACAACACTGCCACATGGAGTATGCTTGTTTTTCCTGCGCTTATGTGGGTGTCCTCTGGGTACTTCGGTTACCTCCCACACTCCAAAAACATGCTGATAGGTTGGCTAGCTCTTGTCGCAATTGGTCCCAAGTATATGTATGCACGTGACTGACCTTAGATTGTAAGCTCCTTGAGCGCTGGAACTGATGTGAATGTACCGTATATGTAAAGCTCTGCATACGTTGTCAGCTCTATATAAATGTCTCCAATAATCAAAAACAGCTGTTTACACTCTTGATTTTTCTAGTTTTGCTTTACCTGTATGAGATGTGTGGTGTTTTACTAGTAGTTTTCACTGATAGTTGTAGTAAATGGTATGGGTTCCTTTTTGATCCTTCTTTTTTTGTACATGAGTACATTCGGATTTAGGCAAAAATTTATATGTGGTATTCTGCAGTGATAAAATGCAGACAATAGTTTATTGCTCGGTGTCAGTCATTCCCTTCCAAAAGTTAACATAGGGAGTTATTTACTAAAACTAGAGTGTGCAAAATCTGGCGCAGCTCTGCACAGAAACTGATCGGCTTCCAGGTTTTATTGCCAAAGCTTAATTGAATCATACACAGCTGCACCAGTTTTAGTAAATCTCCCCCATAGTCTGCCTTCAAGCTTTGGTCTAATGACATACATATTTTTCTATATCAAATAAAAATCCACACTTTGATATTGTTTTCATGCAGCTTGATAGTGTATGGTGTGTTTTACATTAGGTTGTTCCGTGTAGGTCTTTTCAGCATATTTTTTTATTTGTAGATCCGAGATGAATGGGGCAATCAGATCTGGATCTGTCCAGGATGCAATAAAGCAGATGATGGTAGTCCAATGATTGGCTGCGATGGATGTGACGATTGGTACCACTGGTAAGAGATTGACAGCTGACATGGATAATGAAGTAAAATAGCACAAAATATGCCATGCCTTGATCTTACAAGCCACACATTTTCTTGCCTCCAAAATCATTTTTAAAGTTTAGTTTGGCTGACCTTGTACTTGCTGTGTTTAATAATTGACATATAAAAATTGAATTTGTACATTCTTTAAATTCAGGTATTAGATGGCTTTTTAGAACAATAAATAGGTAGGGTTATGTACATAGAAATTTTCTTCCAGGTTAAAGGTTGTTAAATTGCGCAATGGCTCTTGGTCATAACATTCCATTTAAAAAACATAGCGCATGTTGCGCACCTTATATATTTACTGATAATGCCAAGAGAGCTAAGAGGCTTTGTTTATCTGTACTGTGCATAAACGAAGTAATACTGATTGACAGGAAACTTCACATTTGCTGAGATTGACCAGAGATCAGCACTATTGCTTCCCAATTTAGCATTGTGTTTAGTACAGAGGTGCTGTGCTTTGTGTCTGATTTTTAACAGGCTGTTACTCCTGCACTTAAATAATCATTATTATTCTTAAAAACAATCTATTTTTATAATGTTAATCTACTCATAAACTTTAGACAGAAACGTGCATTTTCAAACCTCCTTTGCCTAAGAAAAACTGGTCATAACCTAGATTACGCATAGAGAAATATTATTTGAAATAATAATCTTCAGGGCTGACGTTTGTCGACTTTTTGATCTCAACATAATCAAAAGATCATACGCAATACGGATGCACATCTTTGTCTGGAAGCATTGTTTTGGAGTTATCTGATGCTAACACAGTATATTTTTTGGAACACAGGTATTTTTTTTTTTTTATGGAGCAGTCTTCTGTTTCGGCTCAGTATTAACACAGTTATTATTAGGGTTTTCTGTGAGCCTCATTCATACCATAAAATTGTGTACATGCGTATTACCTTAAAAAGCAGCCTGTCTGCAGTTAACCTGTTGCCACCTGCATAACACTCATGTAAAAGGGAAAGCGTGGGCTTTAATGCCCATGCACCGCATGTATGCATCACAGTGCAGCCAATATTTCTGTGCGCAGAGAACAAGCTGTCAAATACAGCTCTTACCCCTGGGTCACATATCTGCATTCCTGCGGTCCGCATTTTGCGTGGGCACGAGAGCCCATTCATTTGAATGGACTCCCATGCCCCAGGACACGCAGGAAAGAAGTCCCTGCACTTCTTCTGAAAATGCAGCCCTCACCAGTACGGTTGCCATTTCCAGTGCGGGCTGCGTGCCATTAGAATTAATGGCACCCGTCCATGGGTCGACATTCTTTTGTGCGGCTGGTGCTGCTGCACAGATTTTTGTGCGGATCCGCAGCAACACCACCTGCACATATGTGAACCTAATCTTACTGCCCACTATCGATCAGTAACTGGCAAGACTAGCTCCCTGATCATGTGACCACTGTGACAGCCAATTACAGTAGTCACATGGTCGCCGAACCTTTCCAGCCACCAGGCAGATCCTAAAAAAGGGATGGCAGAATGGGGTTAAAGAATTGTAGCGCACATGAACGTATGTGAATGGAGACGCCCTGGTTCACACACATGCGATTCTGAATGCGTTTTCAAACTCACAGATATGCATGACAGGCTAGATATTGTGTGTTCCTATTGAGGTGGTTCACACAGATGCAATCCACACGCATTGTGTTTTAAGTGCCCGTTCAAAAAGGGTCCTGTGCGAGTTGTGTACCCAGGTGTGAATGGAGCCACTCTGGTTCATACATATGCGACTTTGGAGGATATTCAACCTCACAGATTCACATGACAGACTAGATATTGTGTTCCTATTGAGGTGGTCACGCAGATACGTTCTACGCGCATTGTGTTTTGAGTGCCATTGCGAAAAGGGTCCTGTGCAAGTTTTTAGCAGTGCGTTCCAGACTTGCAAGTGATACAGTAGAGTGGCACGCGAAGATACGTTTTCGCATAGGATTTCTATTGACAGGAGGCATTTTTGCATGGAAGTCAGTGGGAGGCGATTTTGCATGGAAGTCAGTGGGAGGCGATTTTGCACGGAAGTCAGTGGGAGGCGATTTTGCACGGAAGTCAGTGGGAGGCGATTTTGCACGGAAGTCAGTGGGAGGCGATTTTGCACGGAAGTCAGTGGGAGGCGATTTTGCACGGAAGTCAGTGGGAGGCGATTTTGCACGGAAGTCAGTGGGAGGCGATTTTGCACGGAAGTCAGTGGGAGGCGATTTTGCACGGAAGTCAGTGGGAGGCGATTTTGCACGGAAGTCAGTGGGAGGCGATTTTGCACGGAAGTCAGTGGGAGGCGATTTTGCACGGAAGTCAGTGGGAGGCGATTTTGCATGGAAGTCAGTGGGAGGCGATTTTGCACGGAAGTCAGTGGGAGTCGTTTTTTGCACGGACGTCAGTGGGAGGGAATCGGTAGATTTTTTTTGCATGGACGTCAGTGGGAATCGTTTTTTTGCATGGACGTCAGTGGGAATCGTTTTTTGCATGGACGTCAGTGGGAATCGTTTTTTTGCATGGACGTCAGTGGGAATCGTTTTTTGCATGGACGTCAGTGGGAATCGTTTTTTTTGCATGGACGTCAGTGGGAATCGTTTTTTGCATGGACGTCAGTGGGAATCGTTTTTTGCATGGACGTCAGTGGGAATCGTTTTTTGCATGGACGTCAGTGGGAATCGTTTTTTGCATGGACGTCAGTGGGAATCGAGAATCGAGTGGGAATTCAGGAAGCAAGATGAGATCTTGAATATCTTTTTAATTTTCTTTTAAAAACTGTTTCTTGTTTGAGTTGATACTAATATCCCATGTATTTTACATTCAATGGCCATTCATAGACCTGTCATTGGGATACTTTCATAGTGTGTCTTGTCACTCAGACACTGTAGACCAGTCACTACAGCTTCGTTTAGTAATCTGTATAAATTTATCTTTAGTCATTTTAAGTTGGGTTGCCCTGGGCTTCTGCTTTTTGCATATCCTTACTGTTATACTGTTATTTGCACTCTTTAATTGAATAGGGCCTAATGACATTAAGGACATGATGTGCAAGCTCAGTAAGGCTTCTGTTTTATAACGAGCAACATTTCAAGAGCGATTTCTCCCTTATTTTTCTCATGATTCATTAAAGCCTAACACTGGGCTGTGATATAATAATTAGAATTGTCTCTCCCCCCTCCAGATAATGAAGAAAATATTGCTTATTTGGATTGGCTCACACAGATAAATATTTATCTTCATGCACGGCCTCTGTGGTCTACATCCCTACTTGTTCGTTTCTGAAAACCAGATTTCCCAAGCAACTCTTCTTGCCGGGTTCCCACTGGTCTTATTGCTGCCACCATCGCATATAATGCTGAACCAGTGGCTTTGTTTGACCTTGACACCATCACATACAGTTGTGCTCAAAATAATAGCAGTCAGATATCACTAACCTGATCAATCACTGTTTTTGGTAGAAATAATATTTCTACATGGCAAATAATTTACTAGCACTTGTAGTAGAGTAATAGAAATCCAACAGACCCAACAGTCATGACATGCATGCTGCTGATTCTGTGTAATTGAATCACTAATTGAAAGGGGCATGTTCAAAATAATAGCAGTGTGGAGTTCTATTAGTGAGGTCATTCATTCTTTGAAAAACAGGTGGCAATTATTGCTCTTATTTAAGGAAGGAAGGCAGCAAATGTTGTACATGCTGGTTACAGTGCATTTCTCTCTGACATTCTGAGGAAAATGGGTTGTTCCAGACATTGTTCAGAAGAACAGCGTACCTTGATTAAAAAGTTGATTGGAGAGGGGAAAACATATAAAGAAATGCAGAAAATGATAGGCTGCTCAGCTAAAATGATCGCAAATGCTTTAAAATGGCAACCAAAACCTGAAAGACATGGAAGAAAGCGAAAAAACTACCATTCGAATGGATAGAAGAATAGCCAAAATGGCAAGGACTCAGCCAACAATCAGCTCCAGGAAGATCAAAGAAGGTCTAAAGTTACCTGTGAGTACTGTTACAATTAGAAGACACCTATGTGAAGCCAAGCTATCTGCAAGAAGCCCCCGCAAAGTCCTACTGTTGAAAAAAAGACATGTGCTGAAGAGGTTACAATTTGCCAAAGAGCACGTTGACTGGCCTAAAGAGAAATGGCGCAACATTTTGTGGACTGATGAAAGTGAGATTGTTCTTTTTGGGTCTAGTGGCCGGAGACAGTTTGTCAGACGACCCCCAAACACTGAATTCAAGCCACAATACACTGTGAAGACAGTGAAGCATGGTTGTGCAAGCATCATGATATAGGGATGTTTCTCATACTACAGTGTTGGGCCTATTTATCGCATACCAGGGATCATGGATCAGTTTGAATACATCAGAATACTTGAAGAGCTCATGCTGCCTTATGCTGAAGAGGAAATGCCCTTGAAATGGGTGTTCCAACAAGACAACGACCCCAAACACACCAGTAAACGTGCAACATCTTGGTTCCAGACCAACAAGATTGACGTTATGGAGTGGCCAGCCCAATCCCCGGATCTTAATCCAATAGAAAACTTGTGGGGTGACATCAAAAATGCAGCTTCTGAGGCAAAACCAAGAAATAGAGAAGAACTGTGGAATGTAGTCCAATCATCCTGGGCTGGAATACCTGTTCACAGGTGCCAGAAGTTGGTTGACTCCATGCAACACAGATGTACAGCAGTTCTCAGAAACAGTGCTTATACAACTAAATATTAATTAAGTGATTCAAAGGAAAGCAAAATCTTCAAACATTTTTCAGTTTATATAGTGAATGTTTGAGTTTGTAAAGAAGAATACAAACACTGCTATTTTTTTTTAACAGTCTAATATTCACTTTTCTTCAATTTTTTTTAGAGGAACAACACAAATTTGATATATTTTTCTTCATGTTTTGATTTGGAATAGAATGTGTAGTGTTCCCAATGCATTTGTGTGTATGGAAATAAAAGCTATTAGAAGGATTTTGAGCTT